ACAATAATAACAATAATAATAATAATAATAATAATAATAATAAAAGGAGGAAATAAAATTTAATGAAATAACATAAAGTCGTATTACCTTCATCCGGCCCTTCTCAGTTCAAGTAATTGAATTCCATTACCTGAACTGAGCTCCTGCTACATCGTCGTCTGCTTATTAATGAACTTTGTACACATTCAGAAGGAAATGTAGGGAAATATCAGTCGCTCCAGTACAGATCTGTTTTCAAGGTAATGACTTTGTTATTTCATTAAATTTTAATGTCTCCTTTTACTTGTTTCTTTTTACTTGCAGCATCATAGGGCTGTACGGAAAGTACAAAGTAATGAATATTACTGTAACTGTAATTGTAATATCTTTTAAATGTATTTTTATTTATCTTTATGATTGATGCACAAGACAGTGTGAATCACCATCCTTGGATGTTTTAAAATTTTTTTTCTCAAACAGTGGCGGATCCAGAAATTTGAAATAGAGGGGCCCAGAGAGGAATTTTCACAGATGTAGGGTCTATACTACCTGAGCCCCACCATGGTTGGGGCTGACTTAAAGAAAATTTATGATTATGGCACCTCTAGAGGCTAGAAATAGCACTATTTGAGTAGAATTTTCTTCTTTGGATAGTAATTTTCAGTGCATAGAGATGAAATACTACATTATGTGTATGTACCATTATTACTATCTATAGCTTTATTCTTTATCTTTGAAGATCCATTTGTATTGAAATAAAAATGTTTGGCTTGTTAACGCACTGCTTCCATGAAATTTTTCGGAGAAAAAGAAAACTTCTATGCTTTTATTACACGTTTATGGTGAAAATTTGACGCTTCCAGTGTGCTTCCAAGATCTTCTTACTGCTTTTAAACTCTTTGTGCTCAGTTTTTACATATGATGGGCATAAGTCGTAACAACACAGGATTTTCGAGATTGGTAGGCAGAATGCAAACACATGAATTGAACTTTATTATTTTTGTTTGCAGGCGTGCCAAAATTGCTATTGGTTCCCCACCTGTGAGCGAATCAGTCTGAAATAGACGATTGCTTAAACTATTTTTTTCCCATCTATTTTAGTTTAGCTTTACTTGCTTGCCTAAATAGAAGAATTGGTAAAAGCCAGTTAATATACCAGAATGGCATATTCCAATCAATCATAGACAACTTCCTAGCAGGAAATACTTGACACATAGGATGACTTTGTGGCAATGAGGAAGGTTTAATATTGCGTTAGAGTCCTGTAATCGTCTATCAGGTGTTAAGCGTTTGGCTGAATAGTACGGTTCTCATCTCTTAAAATGTGGATCCCAGTTCAAGGCTCAGCTGAGAATCCAGTGTTAAAATTTGGGTCTAAATGCTCAGCTTTATGAATACCCTTTATACTGTAAGAAAATTAAGAGGGTTAAAGGACATGTCTGTATCGCTTAGTATCCGTTGCCGATTACATGTACTGTGGTTAAGTCTGGTGGCGCTGCTCTGTGGCTGGCACAGATCCATAAGAGCCCAGCCCACTGGGCGAGTAAAGAATTACTATTCATATGTGTTAAAGTTAAAATCTTTCTAGTCATACTTCGGTGATAAACTTTTAATCATAAATAGTATGATAAAAGTTGATTGTACTGGGCAGTTGAAGACTTCAGTAGTGGACCACCCGTGGTGAATATAATAAAACTGATCCTACATAATGCCTAAAACAGCTATCATTTAACAATGGAATAAACATGTGTACTTCCATGGAGGTATTATAGTTCACTGTAATACCTCCATGGTACTTCTAATTTAGGTATTTATTATTATTCTAACATACTAAAATTAAAATGTAATTTCGTTTACAATATGATTATTAACATATTACTCACATTTCTTTTGTTTCATTCCTTTTATATCTAAAAGGAACTTGCCAACTTAGAGGTAGCAAGTTGGTCGGTGAGAGTGGGGGAGGGGCATGTTGGCCCTGGCCCTACTTTTTGGAAAGTAAAAAAAAAAAAGGAAAGGAAAGAAAAAAAAGAAGAAATTATTGTTCACCCAAAACGCTTCAGAGACAAAAACTTCTCAGACCCCCCATTGCGAGTGCACTGGTAAAAACATAAAACTTGCAAGATTGAGTTTAAGACCTGCCAGGTCAGTACTTGCTGGTGTCTTTGGGAAAGACAGTTTGCTTTAAATGGACCTTTCAGTGAAGCTCCACCCCTTGGATATTGTTGCCAGGTCCCACAAAACATTAGTCTGTAAAAACATACGAAAATATGTTCGTTTGTGGGACTACAGTACATAAGTGTCTGTGAGACCGCCCGCACATATTCCTTCCCTTGGTCTGATTGGTCAGTTGTTAAGTTTGACTGACACACTCTGGAAAGATCTAATACGTCGTCCTTTTGACAGGGCAATAAGTCCCTTCTGCATGAGATCTCAGTAAATGTAGGGATTGTCGACCTTTTTACTGGCTATGATAGGCATTGCTCTGCACCCACTAAATAAAATAACATTCATTGTCAATTCTAAATACTGATTGAGCTTTTCTTTCACAGTTAACAGTTATGCAAAGACTGCTGTCTTTGTTGAGACCAAGAAACATCTCAAGCATAAAAAGCTCAGACAAAAAAAAATTGCTTTAGTTTGATGTTATGAAGTAAATTCCAGCCATATAATAAGGGTCTGTTTGTGAATAATCAGGAATTTTTAGATATTATTTTAACATCTGTTAATTAATGAAGTAATTGTTGAGTTTGATCTACTTTTGAATGCAATTTAATTTTGTTGATTTATTCAAATAAATGCCCCGGGGCATTTATTGTTGAGAAGGATTTTTGAGGGGAATTTATTGGAGGAGGCGTTAATTCGAGGGAGACATTTATTTTTTTTGTGTAAAATTCATACGTATATATACTAAAATAAACTCCCCTTAATATTTTCATTGAGAATGTGTGACTACAACACATCTTTGTACTATCAAAATGTGTTATTGCGTGATCATAAAGAATTATTGATCCCAGGTTAAGAAAAATGCAATTCTACTAGAGTAGAACATAACAGAATGTGTTGAGAATGATGTTGCTTCCATTAGATTTGTTTAAAGTCATTTATAGGCGTTTATTCGAATAAATACGGTATTTGATTTACTGATTGAATAAATGTTGCTTGATTCATTTATTGACTTGTACAGCATTGTAGTAATTATGATACTGTAAAATATATAATCAGTAAAAAATGTTTATACATAAGTAACTGTCTCTTATACACATCTAGATGTGTATAAGAGACAGATATATATCTGTATACATTTTGATTACTGTTGGTAATTGTTGAATAATAAATAAATGAAATCAGTTTTCATGGTAATTTCATCCTTTTAATGGTACCAATGCCATAAAAATAATTACAGCAAGCTTTCATGGAGATTTATATATCAACAATATAATAATTTCTCTCTAAATATAAAATTATGAATTTCACTCTAAACAGTACCTACAGTGCTGACTTTCAATTTTACTCTTTCCTGAGTAAAAGTTTCCTATTTTTTTTCATTCTTAAAATAGACTAAAATTTATTCATGATATAGTAAAATGTAAGACTTCACCAATGTTTGTAAATATTTAATTAAGAAAAATAGTAATGCATCACTGTGCAATGTGATATATAATTTAATTAAGCATTACTATGTATAGATTCCATTCACTAATTTGATTTCAACATGATTATAGAATTGGATTTTACAAAATCGGGAACACAAAACAGATTTACACTTCTAGACATCATAATGCATTAACATTATTTGTATTGTTTAACCATTTTAAATACAAAATAAACACAAAATATGCCATCTAGAAATCAATACTTTTGATTATGATTTATATAATTGAGTTGATTAGTTGTTTATCAAGTATAAATCAAGCAATTATCAACTTAGGTAGTCATAAAAAAAAAACTGTAAAAACGAATTTTCTTTGTTTCTCTGCTGATATCAAGTTTCTGTGGCATAAAAATGAAGGTGTGGGAACAGGGACATCTGGGTGCGTGGCTGTATATTTTGTGCTCCTATTTTCTTTCCAAATTACTGTAAACTTTTGTGTAGTATTTTGCAAGTGAAAATGCATTTTTAGGACAATCAGCCCATAAGAAAAATATTTATTTTAGGATTTGAACAAGAGCTTAAATTTTTTTTTTTCATCACATGGGACATAAACTACCATAATTTTTTTCAATTAAATAAGCAGAGGCTGTCACAATGATTTCAAAAACAGAGAAAACCGGTAGTGGGGTACAAGGGTGGGGTTACAGTTTAAAAAAAAAATTTAAACAAAGCTGTTTCATTCTGAGTAAAAAAACAATAGAGGGCGCTATATGCAAAATAATAATACATTTAAAAAAAAACATTTTGTAGAACCTTAACTAAAGATTTCAAATTTGGTAGCGGTAGAAAATACTGTTGCACTATGGTTTACTAAAATTATTCAATCACTTATTTCAGTTTCTTACTAACCATAAAATTTAAATATTAAACATTAATAATTTAAAACATCATAAACATTTAGTTTCTCCATGATTCAAAGTAAAGAAGTCTTCTATAGTAAGTCCTTGCTTTATTATCTCTTCTTCCAATTTGGTTTTTGGTTCCATGTAATTCTGAGTAAAAAACACAAGATTTTTTAATAACTACGTTAGGGTAAATATATAAAAAAAAACAGTTACAGAAATTAATACATAAGAACTTAATGAAGATTTTTTTATTCAGCTCCATGGTACTACCAACTGATAAATTAATCTGCAAAGCAATTGAGGGTGCTGATACAGTTTCTATTGGTTCAGTTGATTATTTTCATTTCTTGCTTGAGTTACCTCTCACATTTTTTTCAACATGTATACATATAGTATGTAATGAATACTTAAATATATTATTACTTAAGAGGAAATAAATAAATAATGTTAATATCTTGTATGTTTAATTGCATTGTGATTTGTCACCATACCTCATTGGTTAGTAGAAATGTTCCCCAATGGATCCCAACGGACTTCTTCGATTCCACATCCTGATGGATCTTGACCGATTCTTCAGGATTAACATGCTGTGGTTTCATGAACCATCTGGAAATAGATAAGTTAATTGGTTAATTAAATTCATTAATTAATTATCCTGAAATAGGATAGGATAGGATAGAGTATTTCGGTGGGAATCACACCAAGGATAACCCACTAAAGTCTGAAGACTTGTTTCCAGTGGGGTCCTTCTGGTGGTGAATTGGGCTGTACACCAAGAGACAATCCCCTACTCTTTTCCAAAGATTGTCCTGCGTTCTTTAACGTGCACATGGGCCATATTGCACACAGGACCAACGGCTTAAACGTCTCATCCGAAAGACAGTACGCTACCGTAACTTGCAATTCAGCCCTCCAGCTTAAACACAAGGAGAGTAGTGATAAGAATTGAACCGGGGATCTAAAGATCTCCACGGTTGAATATTGAATATTCCATTACAGATTTTCCAAATTTGATTAATAATATTGGAGTGGTGTTAATCTTGGAGGTTAAGATGCTTGCTTTCCAATCCCAGGGTCCTGGGTCCAATTCCTGTCAGCATTGCAGGATTTGTTTTCTCACAACCAAAACAACTCCACTCCCTAAACCTCATATTAAGCAATCTAACTTATTAGGAGTCTGTTGACCGGAATTTACCTAGGTTCATATGCTCCGATGGGAATAGCAGAGAGGTCAAAAGGGCCATATCGCCTACCGATCTCCTTAAACGCCTCACAATAACCAGTATCACCGGCAAAGAAGAAACTGTGCTTCGGTCCAAAGATACACCAGCTTCCCCACAAGTGCGATCCTTTATCATGGAGGCCACGATTACTCCAGTGTTGTGTTGGTGTAAACGCAAACTTGACATTGTCATGCTGTGGAAGGCGTTCCTCGTCCCACCAGTCCAACTCAACCACGTCTTGAACGCCTAATTTAACAAACCAGTTTCGTAAACCTAGCGGCACAAACCATCTCAATTCGGAGCCAAACTTCTTGTTGAGGTCAACAACAGACTGTTTATCCAGGTGATCATAATGTGCATGACTCAAGACAACTGCATCTAGATGAGGAAGATCATCAACGCTGCAGGGGGCTTCACGATACCTTATTGGACCAGCAAAAGAGAAAGGACTGCATCTGTTGCCGAGGACAGGATCTGTTAGTACGCTTATGCCATCAAATCTAACAAGGACAGTAGCATGTCCGAGCCACGTTAATTCCATCCCACCACCATCTTGGGTTGTCCAGTCTGGTTTCAACACCGGTAAATTCTTCTCAAGTTCCTGCAGATAAAAAGAGTAAAATGTTTATACATAAGTAACATTTATTGCAATCTCAACATTCCTGTTTTGTTGATTTGCCGACCTCTGACCCGAAACCTTCATTTATTAATTATGGGAATAGTTCAACCAATTATTTAAGTTGGTTTATTTTAGTGTATGTAAGTGTAGATTAGGATTATAGTGTCCTGAGCACGACGTTATAAACTGCATCCGGTCGAGTCGTCGGCGACTAATTCCGACAACCCCATCTGGTGGTCTTTAGCGGCCGCCAATGGGAGGGTGGATGGACACCCAGCAGCACGAAAAAAAAACAGCTGAACAAAGGGCGGATGAACTCCTCGGAGCCAACGGCCAACCATGCCTTAGTTTAAGGAGTAGGTTTTTTTAGTTTCACAAAATAACTTTAACTTTCTTTTTTCTCAAAATGTCCAAATCAAAGAGCTCAATCACCAAGCGCATAGAGGCTTTTTCGCATGATGC